TTGTACCTTGTCATAAGCAGCTGAATCCGTTGTCGCCGTAGTTGTGTTTTACTGAGCGAAATTTTTGGGCGAAAGTTGCCGCCGTCGTCGCACTACTGTGCGAAAATTCGCCGTTCGTCGGTATTGTGTTTCAACGGCAATTCGCTTTTATACAGGCGCGAAACACAGCAGAAACGGTTCTTGAAGAAGGCAATTTCGCATGAGGTGGTTGTGTTGTTGGTTTGAAGAGCTTTGTAGAGTTTATATTCTCGTTCGTATTTATTTTCCGAGGTCAAAGCATTACAAAATGCTGACCTTAGCAGTGAATTTTTCCCGACCTACAGATTTTTAGCCTAGCATAGTAGTGAAAAAAGAATGTAGTTATTGCTACATGTAGATTTTTTCTAATTTTTCCTACACAATTTAAATGTGCTGCGAATTTCGCGTGAAAAAACCAGTACCCTAAAGGCATTCTTAGGGAACCACATTCTGCATGGTCCGACTGGGTTGTTCGCACGCACACAGTGACATCAATCCCACGCACACTACAAAAATGCTCTGCCGAGGCTGCCCACCTCTGGTCTAAGGATTAAAAATAAAATCGTGCCTCATGAAATTTCTATCAATAATCCACCGGGACACTGATTTTGTTTCCTAAAATGTAAAAGCTGTTTTGATAGACTTTTTCAGCTTTAAATATTAATAAAAACGTGGTCAAAGTATCAAAAAACCGCGTTTTTGCAATATTTGAGAGGCTCCAGCAAAAAAACGAAAGGTGATAGAACCTTCCACTTTGGTTAAATTAAAGCTAGAACTCTCGGCTAGTATCCCTGAAAATACCATACATTCACCTTGACTTTATGGGCACTTATAGTCATTTATTGAACCATAACAAAATACTGGAGTATTGTGCTATTGGAAGAAAGAAAATTGTGCCAAAATCCGTTTTTGCTGTTCAATAAATGACTAAATGATCTTAAGGTTAGGGTCCAGGGATTAATTTAAGCCTAAGTGGAAGATTCTACCACCTTTTGTTTAATTGCGGTAGGTACTCAAACTTCGCCAAAATGAGTTTTCGTTATTCAATAAATGACTAAATGATCTTAAGGTTAGGGTCCAGGGATTAATTTAAGCCTAAGTGGAAGATTCTACCACCTTTTGTTTAATTGCGGTAGGTACTCAAACTTCGCCAAAATGAGTTTTCGTTATTCAATAAATGACTAAATGATCTTAAGGTTAGGGTCCAGGGATTAATTTAAGCCTAAGTGGAAGATTCTACCACCTTTTGTTTAATTGCGGTAGGTACTCAAACTTCGCCAAAATGAGTTTTCGTTATTCAATAAATGACTATAAGTGACCATCAAGTCAAGGGATAGTTGTCGAGAGTTCTAGCTTTAATTTAAGCCCAAGTGGAAGGTTCTATCACCCTTCGTTTTGTTGCTAGAGCTTCTCAAATATTGCAAAAACGCAATTTTTTGATACTTTGACCACGATTTTCTCAAAATCTATAGCTGATGGAAACTTTATAAATACTTACAGATTCGTAATCAGCACAAAAAAGTCTATTGTTTCCCATTTTTGTTCGCCTGTGTAATCCACCGCTCATACCATTATAAGCATGGTGACAGGTAATAAGGTCAATGGAAATAAGGTCAATTGACCTTATTTCCGTTGATCTTATTGCCTGTCACCTATAAGCGTATGCTATTTACATATTTACTCAGATTACACTATGCCGCACGATTTTATTTTTTAGTTTGATCAATGCCCCAGACTGATGAGGAGAGTGGTGTGATTACTGATACCTACGGCCTACCTAATTATTGCTTAGCTTTTAGTACATATTTACATATGTATGTATGTATGTAGATATATGTAAGTTGTAAATTTGGCACACATGATTTGCGGTTGGGCAATTAGTTAGCTAACAACAATGTGTAATAAAGGAAATTGTTTTCCGTTATAAAGGCAGGGTGACACAAAACTGTGTTAATACATACTTCGTGTTTTAGAAAGATGATGAATTGTGTGGTTGAAAGTCCTTCTTTAAATCTTCAACACGCCATCCAACAGGTTATTCAACTTTCAAATGAAGCCAAAGAACGTAGGATATAAACAAGCAATTTTTAAGCAAAAAACAAAACCGACTTTAATTCTCATATAAAAACTTAAGATTACCGTTAATTTCTTCATAGTTTTCAAACTTTTTAAACAAATAGTAGGATAGTAGTCCAAAATTTAGATAGTAATATGTATTTGAAAAAGAATTTCACGAATTCAAACAGGTATTCCTTTCTTTTGACATTGACTCCAGTAATTCAAATTTAGTTTCTTTGATCATCGTTATAGCGATTTCACCGCAGAGCCATTTTGCTACGGAACTATTTTATCGTTTTATGTTTCTGTATGTAGTTTCTATGTAGTATAAAAGCAATGAATGTTTTAATGCACAAATGTTATTTTCTAATTAACTATGTTTGTATGTAGTAGGGATGTTAATTTTTCGGCTTTTTCCGATCCCGGGATTTTCCGGATGGCGTTGTCACAATCCCGGGATGCCGGGATTAGTCCCGTGATTTAGATATTCCTTACTTTTCAACAACTTGAATCGAAAAAATTGCTTCTATATTGTTTGAGAAGCTCTCCTACCATGAAATAAATAATAAAGAAACGGGGCTTTATTTAAAGTGGCATTTTTATTTTTTCTCTCTGACCGCAGGATCTATTTTGAAGGACTTTGTAATTTCAAAGATATGATTACTTCCAAAAATTATTAAAAAAAATCAATGCAATGTAGAATAAAAATATGGGTAACAAATGCAATAGGAAATTTCTTTAGAATTAAAAAAAAAATTAAATCTTTTGGATTGACAAGGACGTATAGGTAATTTTTAAGCTGACAAAGTTAAAAGAACGAAATTCGAGGATGTTATCGAGTTTATATAAGCCCTTAACATACTTTTTTTTTCAAAAACAAATATTGCGAAATTTCAAGGATAAAATTTTAAAATGACATTTTCCATATATACCAGCACTTCTTCACCAGAAACTTGAATCTGTTTAAATTCTACAGGATTTCCTCATTAATTTTATACCCATACTTCTTCTCTAAGCACATTTCTCTGAATTTTTTAAAGCATTTTTGAATTACTGACGGCAGAGTGAAAAACTAAAAACGCAATTTTACTATATTTGGCCCATGATTTCGCGACTATATTGATATTTGTTTTTAAAATTTACTATCGCGCGGTGTTATGTGTATAATGAGCTACACATTTATAAAAAAAATATTAATTATTAAATAAAAGAAGAAATATAGCCAATGCTGGTCAATAAAAGGAGTTTCTATTATTGCCATCAGTGCAAGCAAATTACAAATCCCGAAAATCCCGGGACTAACATTCCTAGTATGTAGGTATTATGTTAATTTTGGGTTTGGTCAGAAGTGCCCATCTTTATAAATGTACATATGCACATACATGCATACATATTAGTATATTCGAGTAAATAATATAGTAATGCAAATATATGTATGTGCATTAACATTGGCATCAGTTAATCTTCATACATATGTATCTAATTAATATTTCAAAGGAATATGAATGCCAGTAGTAATCAGAAGTTCGCTCATTTAGGCGACATTTCTTTTAGTTAAGTATTTAAATATACAGGAGCGGCTGAATAATATAAAAAATGCATGTACATCATTTCCATTTTGCTTACCTACTGTAACAAAGCCACAATCACTGCCTGACAAATTAAGGTTTGATAACAGGTTAATCCTCTGAAAGTTAATTTGTATTATGCGGGACAATAAATTTGTGCCTGTATGAACAGTTTGGATATACTACTTTAATGCGCCATATCGTCGTTTAAAGTACAAAACCGCGTATCGTGATTCTGCAAAACCGCCTAACTGAAATTGGCTGCAAAAATTGGATTTGCTCACACAAGCTCTTGGCTCAATCCTTATCCATTCGCCCTGAAATATACTAGCCAGATATGCGAGTGCTTTATAAAAAAGAGAACCATTTTGAAATATGAGTGTTTTTACACTCTAGAAAATAATTTCTACGACTTCACATACGTGGTTTTGCATTTTTCTGATACGCGGTTTTGCACTTTAAACGACGATATATTATTGAGAATCTCCTAATTTCTCTCAGCGCATTTACATACTTATACGGTAGACAAACGGGCTCGATTATTTGCATTACCAGCATTAATTTGCTTTAACTCATGCATTTTCCTCTTTAAAATGAGCATAAGCAGCCGAACAAATGCACGAAATTTTTGGGAATTAACTCGGATCCGGGGAATTTTCGATGACAACACTGGTAAAAACGGCCAGTTGTTGTCTTTTGTACAAGTAAGCAAACGAAGCAGTCGTGTTTTGCGTACGCGGTAGCCGAGTGGTGAGAGTTGCGAGCTACAAGCCTGTAGCTGCCAGGTTCGATATTCGGTTGGAGCGATTGCGAAAAGTTTTTTGTTTTTATTATTTATTTTATATTTTTTTATTTTATTTTATTTATATATTTAATTTTACTTTATTTTATTTTCATTTGCTTTATTTTATATCACATTTCTTATTTTACTTTTAGTTAATTTTAATTATTAAAGATGAATTTTGTTAAAAATTCAACAATAACTAACTGAAAGTAACGTAAAAAAAATATAGAACTTAAAAAAAAATTATGAAAAGGAAATAAAAAAAGTATACTGGCCGTGGGACTCGAACCCACAACCTTGCGGCTGGTTTATTCGCATTACTGCCGTCTGTAAGGGTAAAATTTTAATTTGCATTTATGCTTATTAATTCAAATTAATTTTCTCCGTCTGTCTACCATATAACATACGTATTGCATATCATTCTATGCAGTGCAGTGCAAAGTATGCATAACTGAGCTATAAGCTGAGCTATAAGAGTACATGTAGAAGTTTAATTTCATTCATTATAATTTAATGCTAATATTTGTAATAAAATGCAAAAACTATATATTTTTGTTTTCATTTACCAATAGAAAATCCGACATACATACATACCTCCTACATATACTAGAACTGTTAGTATGATGAAATCAATTCCCGTCTTCGTGTTTTACGCATTTTTAATGACGGTGTCTATTGGAGCGATCGAGTCACGCCCTCAAAATGCTATCGACAACAGACAGGTAAGAAAAAAACACAACTTTTTCCCGAGTGGGTGGATAACTCTATTCATTAAATATGCGTATTGAATAACTTTAAGTAACTTTAAAGATAACCAGGGCCGTAAATAGAAAATCCGGGCCCGGTGTTAAATATGGGCCGGGCCCCATAATTGTTTTTTTTTTATGTTTGTTCGAATTTCCAACGGTATGTAGGTATGTTTTTTTTTTTTGGAGAACTGTTTTTGCTAAATTGTTGTACAGATCAAGTGAGTACGTAAAATAGTTTTTATTATTTTAGTCAAAATGCGTTCCTTTAAGCTCAGATGGGTCGGAACTTTTCTGAAGATTAGCAAACATCTGTTGACTTCGCAATGTGGGGAAAACCTATCTATGTATATTGCTTTGACTAGCGCGGAATTGACCTTACTACATTTGCATGTGTACCTAAAAATGCGCTTTCGCAGTTATTAGAATTTATAATAGCCACGTGAAAATTCAATAATAATCAAATTTATCAAAATAACAAAATATTCTAATATCGTCTTCCTTATGCCAGAAATATGAATGTGTAAAAATGAAAATGTTGGGAAATCGAGTTTGAAAGTTTTTTATGAGACTTAACTGTACATTCATGTAATGGACATTTTAAATTATGTGGTTTCCGTGTACGCATAGTATAGAACATTCAAAGATTAATAAAGTCAACCAAATATCTCAAAATTGGTAAATTTGCACACTCATGCTTCTGGGGGACGATATATAATCCCGAGGGAAACACAAACTAGGGATGTTAATTTTTTCGATTTTTGCGATCCCGGGATTTTCGGGACATCGTTCATACAATCCCGGGACTAGTCCCGGAATTTAGATATTCATTTTTTTCCAACAACTTAACCTGAAAAAATTGCATCAACATAGTTTGAGAAGCTGTCCTACCATATACATAGTTAATANGATTTTTGCGATCCCGGGATTTTCGGGACATCGTTCATACAATCCCGGGACTAGTCCCGGAATTTAGATATTCATTTTTTTCCAACAACTTAACCTGAAAAAATTGCATCAACATAGTTTGAGAAGCTGTCCTACCATATACATAGTTAATAATATAATGTAAAAAAAATATTTTTTAAAAACAAGCTTTTGTTTAACATGTACAATCAAAGGAATAGAATAAAGTAGTGTAACAAAATATTTTTTAGCAAGAAAATTTTGTCACTAATTTACTTCGTTTTTAAAAAAGCTTGTCTTGCGAATAGCAAACCGGCATTTAAATATCTGCATACATACATATACATACATACCTAACCAATTATGCATNGACAAGCTTTTTTAAAAACGAAGTAAATTAGTACAAATTGTTAGTAATTTTCATTAGAGTTTGAATAACTCCTTTCACTAAATGGCTTTTAGTAACTTTAACGAGACCTTAACTTATTTTATTTTATTCATTTTAGTGCAGTTCTGACGAAATTTTCTTGCTAAAAAATCGTTTGTTACACTACTTTATTTTATTCCTTTGATTGTAAAAGCTTGTTTTTAAAAAATATTTTTTTTGTCAATGTTATTGTGGCTTGTTAACATTTTTTATTTTTAATATTTTTTATTGAGCTTTGTACCACGATTGTTTATTAAGAAAAATTGAAAAAGCAACAAAGTCTAAGCGGTAAAAGTTATAGCAGCTATTTCGGAGATCACCACATCTCCTCATCGGACTTCTTTTTCAATAGACTTCAGCTGGGATCGAACCCGCGTCATCGATGTGCCAAGTCGGAAGCGTTAACCACTGAGCTATGTACATCCCGTAAACTCTTGTTGCTAATTCATTTTCCAATAACATTGACAAATACATAGTTTAGGAAGAGCCTGCCTGAAACTATACAAAAAAGCAAATAAGCAAATGGATGTATAGAATTGACAACAACAACCACGCTGTCGAGTTTAAATAGCGGCAAATCAGCTGCACTTGATAGTAGTTGGTTGAATAAGGAAAATGAATTAGCAACAAGAGTTTACGGGATGTACATAGCTCAGTGGTTAACGCTTCTGACTTTGAACATCGAATTCGCAGGTTCGATCCCTGCTGAAGTCTAGAAAAAAAAAGTCTGATGAGGAGATGTGGTGATCTCCGAAATAGTGCTATAACTTCTACCGCTTAGACTTTGTTGCTTTTTCAATTTTTCCTAATAAACAATCGTGGTACAAAGCTCAATAAAAATATTAAAAATAAAATGTTAACAAGCCACAATAACATTGACAAATACATAGTTTAGGAAGAGCCTGCCTGAAACTATACAAAAAAGCAAATAAGCAAATGGATGTATAGAATTGACAACAACAACCACGCTGTCGAGTTTAAATAGCGGCAAATCAGCTGCACTTGATAGTAGTTGGTTGAATAAGGAAAATGAATTAGCAACAAGAGTTTACGGGATGTACATAGCTCAGTGGTTAACGCTTCTGACTTTGAACATCGAATTCGCAGGTTCGATCCCTGCTGAAGTCTAGAAAAAAGAAGTCTGATGAGGAGATGTGGTGATCTCCGAAATAGTGCTATAACTTCTACCGCTTAGACTTTGTTGCTTTTTCAATTTTTCCTAATAAACAATCGTGGTACAAAGCTCAATAAAAATATTAAAAATAAAAAATATTTTTTTTACTTATTGAAAATTTTGGTGAAGATTTGTTGAATTTTATTAAATTTGGTAAAAACTTTGAATCATTAGTTTATATGCCATCTGATGCAGAATGAACTATACTTTTATAAAAATGAACGAAAAAGATTTGCTACGAAAAACATTGCAAATATTAAAAAAAAAAACACTGTACGGAAACATATTCTGGCTAGTGTATGTATCGTAAAAATCATATTTACAGATGCAAATACATACATACATATCGTGTAAGAACACTTTTACAGAAGTACATTTAGATTTAATATATAATGTTTTCAAGGCTATAAAAAACTCAAAATTTACGAGAACTTAATTAATCAATTATTTATTTTCACAATTATAGGATATTGAAAATTTAGACCAAGACCTGGACGAGATGCGGAATAGCTATTATGAGATGCCAGCATCGGCAACCTACTCTGGCGTCCCGCTCGATCGTTTGCAAATGTTGATCGCCCAATATAGGCCTACGTAAGTTCATACCTTCATACCTTTGTAGGGCGAATTCATAAAATATATATATGTATTACAATATTTTTGATTGGTTATCAATTTACAGATCTTACATGCGCACTCCCGGGTGGAACAGCGGCATGAATGAGCTCTTTCGTACGCCTGAGTCAAAACGTCAAGTAAGATATCGACAGTGCTACTTCAACCCGATCTCGTGCTTTAAGAAGTAAGCTGCTTAAGAAACTTAAGATGCCAAGACAAAGTAAAGTAAAGTATGGGGAAACGTTTGACTTAAATTTGTAAATACATACAATATCTATTAAATAAGGCATAAAAAACACATTGAGCCCACAGCTATTCGATTTATAAAAAAAATAACATTTCAAACAGCAACCGCTTAGCCCCAATTAACTATGTAATTTGTAATAAAATTTTATTCTTCTATGTTTACCATATTGCTTACATGTATGTACAGTGTACACACTTTTCTCGAAATGTGTGTTTTTTTTTAATAATTAATCAGAAAACTCTGAAATAAAATTTAGCAATCATACTACATTCTTATGCACATATGTACATAGTTATGGCTGATTACATAATATCAGAAAATTTCTAATACAGAATTTTTATTCAACCGATCCACTCACACATTTAAAGCCTATAAGAGACATAATGAAAAAATGATAGTGTTGTGTTGTTAAATCCTAAACTTATATACTAGGTACCTACGTATGCTTATTGCATAGTTCTANACATAATGAAAAAATGATAGTGTTGTGGTGTTAAATCCTAAACTTATATAGGTACCTACGTATGCTTATTGTATAGTTCTCAATTTCGTTAAGAGGGAATGCATCTGATCTGGTAAATCTGCATATATTTTAAATGCAAATTTTTAAACAATATTTTAACTAAAAATTTCGCATGTTTGTATTAATCACTATCCAAAAGAGTATATGAAACCTCTTAGAATAATGTAATTTTAAATAACGTATTCAAAGTATGACATTTGTATATGTATAGTGATATTTATTGTTAATAAATTTAAATTTGGAACAAAATCTAACTGGAAACGTTGAGCTTTTCTGAAATGGCAAATAAACCACAAAAATGCACAGACTTATTAGGGCACAAATAAGGACTGTATGTATGTCTCTTTTGTTTTTTTTTTGTAAAATTAAGTGGTGAGGTGCTTTTGTATGAAAGCAGTTTACACATCCAATTTACTATTATATATTAGAACACGCAAAAAAATCTTGCAATGGAACCGCAACCCGACACAAATTTAAGTATTTGGTATAGTAATGACCAGGGAATGGATTTTATAGAAATTGCCTTTTTTCTGCTAAAGAGATAGAGTATATCAGATTAAGAATGTCCACGATTTAGATTTCCCTGATTCTATATATACACCTTTGATGTTGCCGGTTTTTTTTTGCCTTTTTTAAGATATTTGCCTTTTTTGCCTTTTCTACTTTTAATCGTTTTAAAAGTTTCAAATGTTCCATATTTAAAATGGGTGCCACTTGTATCAACTCACGTCGGCGCACCTTTAGTACATTCAAGGCTTTTCTTCGGGAAAATCGAATGAAAATGCTGCCAGAAAGCTTCAAAATCCATCTTGTGGTTCAATGTTACTACAACTATACAGATTAAAGTTTTGTGAGTTAAAAACTCGAAAGGAAAATATAGCCAAAGATTCAAAGTAGACATTTTTTAGTGCTTTTTCTATTGCTTTTTCCTGCCAATTTCGCTATTTTATTTTACCTTTTCTGGCGTATTTCGTTATTTTATTTTGCCCTTTTTATAGGTTTTTAGGTCCAAAAAATCCATTCCCTGGCAATGACCCTCCATGAATCTTCCCTTTCTACGATAATTTTAAGAGGTGCCGCATGAAGCGTTAATTTTTTCCATAAGAATAACGCATAGGAAAAAAGTTGTTCTCTTCTGAGGTCAATATAATATTCTAGGAGCAATCAAAACGCTCGAAACTATAAGAATACGTTGATTAAATGCCATTTAAGTATTTATTCAGCCTCAGATTCTTTTGCTTAGTTTGGGTAAAATCTAGTAATTAGTTCAAAATGGCGACCATTTAAATAAAAGTAAATTTTAATTATTTTAAATATCGTTTTTGCGACCTAATCTTTGATATCGTGCCACGGGATTCAGAACCGTTTTTCAGAAAAAAGAAAATAAGAGTCTCATGAAATTCAAAGTAGATTATGGCCCCAAAGTTTGAAACAAATCGACGACATCGATTGTACTACATACGAATTACTGTGGTTTTTCTTATTCAATGTTGTGAATTTACATAGGAAAATTTATTTCTGTGGACAAGCAACAATAATTTACATTTTGTTAGAACTTATAATTTCCATTTCGGAGATCACCACATCGTCTAATTAGTTTTCTTCATCGAGTTCACTGGGATTCGAACCACCGACTCTGGCTAAAAGGCCAGTAAATACCAAACAAAAATACTTCAGGATGAGCACGCACGCCTTCAAATTAAATTTCTAAAAATATAACTTAACTAAAAGGGCAAATAAATGATACCAGCATGTTGGCGCCATCAAGTGTTGGTGCCAGCCGATTGACCGTGCATGTTCTTGTGGTATTTTGATATTTTTTTGATTGTACCAGCATGCTGGTGTCGTGAATGGTGAAATTCAGGGACGCGAACCGGTTTTGAGCCGGAAAGCCGCTTTTTCTATAAACTAAGTGAATCATTAACCGAACCGAAATTGTCCACAAGTGTTTGATCCGAACCGAAAACCGAACCACTTTTTATAAAGGTTTAAAAGTTCGTCCGTCATCAAATTTTCAATAGACAAATTTACCCCCTTTTTATTTTTGTTAAATATGGTAATACATACCATGTTTGTTTACCATGTGGCAATATCAAATGTTAGGGCAACCGATCTCATTTGACAGACACTTGACACTCACCCTTGCGGGTTGTTGCACTTGACACTTGACGCATACACTTGCGCGTTATTTTTTTTTATTATTTCCGAACCGTTGAACCGAACCGAAACCCCGGTTCAAACGAACCAAACCATAAGTGCAAAAACGGTTCGAACCGCTGAACCGAACCGACCAAATTTTTCATCCGGTTCACGTCCTAGGTGAAATTAGATCCATTTTTCAAGTACAAAGTATTTTGGCGGAAATTTCTTGCATTTTATGAGAAAAAGTCGTGTTTGTTCAAAATTAAAGTTCACAATATTGCAGTTGTGAATTAAAAAAAAAAAAAAAAAGTTCAACAAAATGGTAGAAAAACTATGAAATTTCGGCTCTATTGATTTCGATCTTTTCCGGACCTCTTTTGTAAAGAAATAAATATTGTCCCAGCATGCTGGTATGTTATATCGATGGCTGAGTGGGAGATCGACCTATATGTTGTCATATAATTTCTAGCGGAACGTGGTTTGACTTTACGAAACCCCGACAAATATTTAGCTTATCGATTAATGGAAATTTTCTTGGCATACTTAAATACCAGCTCAATATGACCCATTTTTTGGCTGGACACATCAAGGCACACGCAAACAAGGTACGAGGGTGCGCGAGCGGCATTTCTGAGCGATTAATTGTTAAATGCCGCTGTCAATAGTGATTTGTTCCAAGTTTTTGCGTTCAAGAAAATCTTATCTTATCTTATAAATCGAGGAACACACCACGTTATGGCGAAATTATTCTTTTCTATACAAGTCTCATTAAAAACAATATATTCTACACATTTTCGTACTGGGCTACGACAATCGAAAACTAAGTAAATATCGATGGTCCTCTAAAATAACGACACAACTCAAAATTCAAAAACTTGCTAGTGTTAAGTGGCTCATCTCTCTAATCCTTGACTAATCGTTACTACTTACTGTAGTGATCTATACTTCCTTTAGAAAGGATTAGACAAAGATTTGAGACATGAGTCAGTTAACAGTAACATGGTATTTTGTCTTTTTAATATTGGAATGTATCGTTATTGCAGAGAACCATCGAAATGTCCACATTTCTATGCGTGTAAATATGAGGTCTTCTGATTTCAAGATGTGATCAAAACCAACCGATATTCGGTAGGAAAAGCCGCGAAATGAAAATACTGCTACCCGTACATAGTTATCTATGTACTTACCTATGTATGTCTTATCCCCAATGTTTTTATTTACGACCAACAATTGTGCGTCTTTTGTTCTTCCATTATGGTTTCGCGAGAGGTTGTGGGCATTTGTTGCCTTGAAAAATTGTATTTTTTGGTAATCTACATATAAACATACATATGTATATATATGTAAGTACATAATAGCTCTGATCCAATACTTTTCGTGAAAAATCCTGTAAAACTGTCAAACAGCTAAATTACTCTCTGAAGTGAGAGTAAAAAGTGAGTAACAGCAAAAAGTACGGGAACAAAAAAACCATTTTTCCTGTAAAAACGTCAACCAGTTATTGCTTGACACTTTTCATGATTTTACCAGAAGAAAAAGTCCGGGTAAAATCTTGCAGCTTCATTCTCTACACAACTCTCCAAAAGTCGCTCTCATTTACAGGATTTTGGAGGATTTCGGAGTACGGGAACATTTTTCCTGCAAGTTCGTGTAAAATCCTATAAGTTCATGGAGTACTGGATCAGAGCTAATAGTTACAAGCATTTAATATTGAACATCTGATGAGGTGGGTACCCAGATATCACCAAGATAAATATGTAACCAATAAGGTGGAAGACGTAGTGATGCTGAAGAATGAAGTGTGGGCATTGAAGCTGAAGTGACCGCTTGTACGATTATTGACTAAAGGAGCACCTCATAAATATTAAATAGATAGATAGATAACTTGTTTTACGATCGGTGCAACAAGTGTAATAACAAGTGCACACAAATGCTTACTCTATATCGTATAACTACGGTGACCAGATGTCTGTGGCCAATAATTGGGACATCTCTAAAGCATCGAATCCGAACATACAATTTTTTTTTTAGAATAAAAACACATAACATCTTTTAATACAGTTTTATTTAAAACAAAACAAAGAGAAAATAACTTTAATCGCAAAAATTGATACACACCATATATACGGTGGCGAGAATGTAAAGAGGGAAATTTTATTTTTTATTTATTATGAAAATATAACTTACTATCTAAAAACAAAAACATATAAATCAAAATTTCAAACCTTGGAGATTTATAAAAATTCGACGAATTTCACCAAATGTTGATCAAAATTTTTATCAGATTTTCTAGAATTTTTTGCATGCAGTTTTGTAGTTCATTAAATTTTAGTATAAAAAGTGTAAGTTTGAAGTAGCTTGGACTTACCGTCGATTTTTGGCAATTTTGTGTTCGCACACTTTTTCTTCCATACAAAGGCTTCATACATGGGCTACAAAAC